TTATTCGGTAACATTCTAATAGGAAACTGTCTCTTCAGCTTTTGCGGTGCTGCTTATTCTAAACAGTTTCGGCGCGATATCCAGCGGTATTCGGCGTATCTACTACAAGCTAGCCGGTGAGTCGTTGCTAACGCCATTGCAATGCATGGTTGTTGGTGTGCACATCTGGTTTTACAATGTCAGCGAAACGTCCATCTCGATGCTGATCGTGTTCATCTCGGTCGACCGTCTCGTAGCCATGATATCGATAAGCTTCTACCAACGAATAACCATCAAAACCGTGTCAATCATCCTTGGCCTATTTGTGGCAATCGCCTGTGCTGAGTGCGTCGCCATTTGGGTGTCTGTATAGATGATGCGCAAGCATGAATTGATCAGCGGTGACTGCTTTTTTAACGACATTTTGCCGCCCATCTTCTACAGTGTGCACAAACTATGGTTTTTGTCCAGCGGCTATGTTAGCATCTCGATATACGCGGTCGCCATGATGGTCAGGTACTGTAAGCACAGTAACTCGACCGCACTGCGCACGATAGAAGAGAGGCGAGAACGGGTGGTCACCAAGAGGCTGTCGCTGATCCTGCTGGCTACGTTTGCGTTTGTCAGCTTTCCGTTTTCCATCATCAACGTGGTGCCGATCAGATCCCGTTCTACGTTCCTGTTCGTCGATGTTATGTGGTCACTGACACCACTAACAAAATCGTTCATCGTTGTCGTCTATACTTGCTTGTACCCCGCCTCCAAGCAATACCTTCTTCGAACCGTGCACATGTTCTTCGCCTGCAAAATGAAAACGAGAGAAGACCCTGCTCGAAACCAGCCGCCGCAACTGAACAAATTTTGCTGTTCGAATATGCGCGTCGAGAGCATTGTACAAAACAATGTCTTGTTAACTGTCACTGCAACTTGAAGCCGGTAATTGGCCTTCGAGGTTGGTCGTGTAGTGCGTTATTACATCGCTCAAATCAGGCGGGCTCTGATCGTTTGCTACCACATTTTAATCACTCAGAAACCCAAACAGTCTTTTAGCCAACAGGTGCAGCCTCAACTCACGGATCACTGACTCAGTACATGCTGTCAATTCATTAAAATGTCTACAATGCTTCACATGCATCCGCATAACAGGCAAAACTTTTATGCGTGGAAATGTGTTTCGCAATCAAAACAAATGTTTAGAGATCATGTGAACACGATGATCATACCTATAACGCCTTAATGTCGTTCTACGGTGTACAACGACATTGCTAATATTGTCCATTGCACTTGCTCTTATATTATGTCCCTTGAAATTGGATTAAGCTCGATTAAAAATGCTGGTATTTGTTTTAATAAATTTTGCAAGAGTAAGCTTCATAAGATTTATTCAGAGCATTCACCACAATAAAAGGCATGCGATGTAAAGCCACAGAAGGTCACGACGATCAAAAGACAGTTCTCCATACATTACATTGTGTAGCTGGCCGCCAAGGGTTCTGCTGCGGTAAAGGTTCATCTCGCCTGCGTTTAAAAATTGATCTGTATTTGAGGATGAGACTCACTGCTGCCCAGTGCAAAACTTTCTTTATCAATATGAATACAAATAGGTGACAATGACACATGTCGACTGACCGATTTATACCTGTTTTTCAAGCGGTAGAACTAACCCGTGTTCACCACCAGCACGTTTCGCACATACCC